CTGAAAATCTATTTAAAAAGGAAAAGATAAAATATTCTTCAGAAGCAAAAAGAAAAATCCCAAATATCACAAAAAAGGCTCTACAAAAGACTGTTTTGCACTAACTTCAACTACTCTACACTTACATTGCTTCTACCATGCTCATTTTAGAAGGAAATGATGATAAGTAGCCTAAATAATAGTTACATGCTTTGCTGAAAGACATTTAATGTTTATATTATATACATCAACGATAATCTTTAAGATCAACAAAGAAAATATATACTACTAGAAAAATTAAAATTAGAGAGGAAACGAATCCGTCACTAAATTTTATATAATCCGTCACAAAACAAATTAGTGACAAAATTAGTGACAGAACTGATTTCATCACAAAAATTGGCGTCACAAAATATTTAGTGACGGATAATTTCAGTCCATCATAATCAGTGACGAAATTAAGGCATCACAAATAATATATTTTTCGTCACTAATTTCTAATATTAAATATTCATAAATTAATAAAATTCCGTCGCAATTTGTGAAGGATTAACTCCGTCACAAATAAATAATTTGTGACGGATTATCTCCGTCACAAACTCCATCACAAATTTGTGAGAGATATGTGCATCTTATTAACGTCACAAGTTGAGAGGGATGTTGGCCTCTCAAAGGTTCTATTTCACGACATTTCACTTTTTGGCGTGTTTTTTCCTTACTTGCACACTTTATGGGAAACTTCCTAGAAGGTCACCTATCCCTATATTACTCCAAGTCAAGCACGCTTAATTGTGAAGTTCTGATGAGATAAGCTACCAAAATGTATATGCATGTTGTCAGTATAACTTGTACAAATTAATTCATTTAAGTGATCATCAACTATACAATCTCATACTTGTACTATAATAATAATATATAATAATTTTATATTACGAATAATAATAATAATATATTTAATTAATCTTCATTTATATATACTTACTTTTATAATTAACAATCTACTTATTTCTATTTAAAAATAAT